AAACATAAAGCATGTGGCCCCACTAATCCTAGCTGCATTACATTGAACAAAATGGAGAGAGTATACGAACTACGTTTAGTGCTATTAGAGAAGAAAAGGGACGACATTGAACAACTTGTTAGTAAGAGGATGGACATGAATAAATTTGGAAGTAGAAAGACACAATTGGCTTACCCATTATATTAAGTAGTTGAACCAACAAATTAAATACTTTAATTACTAACTTGAAACCTATGTACACACCTTTAAATTTGAACAAATTTTCCAGATTTACTGTTGGAATATGGATGTGCATATTTTTTTATTTGTAAAAGCTAGAAACAAAAAAAAAGATGGGATAAAAAGTTGGGGAAAAGCCAAAACTTTACTAGTACATAAATGATTGAGGCATGTCCATACCAATAATTGAAATCAATAATTCAACAATATTTTCTTATAAAAAAAATTAAAATAATCTTCCAAAAAATATTATTTAATTTTAAAGAATATTAATCTTATCTTCATGAATTGAATTTGTCTTCTCCAACACATTTTTTTCTCTTTTCTTTTTGGCTTTTTGCATTTTTGTTTTGATCCAAAAAAATATAGTTTTAACTTCAACCATGAAATATTAGGCTGAGTTAAACGAAAATGAATCCTGAAACCATTATGCATTCAATATTAATTTACCTTTTGAATTAACATTTATTAATGGACAATTAAACTTCAAATTTAATTTTTGAATAATTAAACAGAAATAAAATCAAAACTCAGAAAACAAAAAAAACCCATATAGTTCTTGAAAGAAATTGAATTTAAATTAATTATTACTTGGAGTTCCTGGCAGATTTGTCTTCTTCTTAATAGGTAATGGATTAGAGTTGGAACCGTTGCTCTTAGCTCTGATCAAAGACGACGAGTTCAAGCCATGAAAATTATCACTTAGCTCTGTAACTTGTTCTTGTTTTTGTTGTGGTTGATTATGAACTTCTTCTAATCCAATAGGAAAGCTTCCAGCCCGTGTAATTGACAGTTTTGAGGAAGAGGCGTAAAAAAAGTGGTAAATGAAAAAGGAAAGATCTTTTATTGAACCCTTTTGTCTTTCTTTCTCTTCCTTGTTTCCAAAAGACTCTGGTTTTCTTCTTCCTCTCTCTCTCTCTCTCTCTCTTATAATTTCTTTGGTTTCTTGCTCTGGGATGCTCTCAAAAATATGAAGAGTTTAAAAGGAAGAGTTATCTTTAAATGAAAATAATAGAAAGGGGATGAGAAAAACAGAGGAGCAGGGAAGTTGGGAATTTGTTGTGACTAAAGCAATACAAAAACCAGGAAATTCTCCTTTATTGCTGGTGAAGCGAAGAGAGTAGGGGGAGGAACACAAGACAAGAACTTGGACTTCTTTTGTGGTTTTATATTATGACTAAATAGATAACTACATTAATGTGTTTAGACATTGTTTGGTTGCTGTCCCTTGATTTGTTTGGTTACACAAAAGGGCCATGCCCCCATTCAAAGGTAGATGATAACATGATGTTGAACAAGTGCATGATCCAATTAAATAACAGTTGTTTTTATTTGGAAAATGGGTCCATAAGATTTTTTTCTTTTTAACGAAACATTATAAGAAAATTGTTATAGCTGAATAATGATTAATGTAAAACATTAGAAGAAAAAATGTTATAGCTGAATGATTGATGGTAGAAAGGGACGGCACATTACTACTACCGTATACAATTTGTTTTAAGAATATAGAAATTGAACTTTGCAAAAATAAAAATGATATATTGAAATTGAGTATTGTGTTTGAGATTGAGGTTGAAATTGAAATTGAGTTTGAGTTTTAGATGCATATAGGTATTGTACTAAAGTGCTATTTATATCTAATTTTTATAAATAAAGTTATTGATTTTAAATTATTGATTTATAATGACTTTTATATTGATTTTCTATTTATAAAGTTATATATTTTAAATTTGGATTTGGATAAATGGGAGCCCATTTTTTATTTTTGTAGGTTCAAAATCCAGCCTTTATCTCCTCTACCTTACCTCCCCAACAAGAGACTGCTACTGCGTCGCCCCTCCTTGTCTCCATTTATGGTTAGTTTCTTCATTGAAAATGTGGAGACTTTTGCAAAAGTTTTTGGATTTATACTAACTTATCTTTTGTTTTCTTTACAAAATTTAGATTTAAATCCAACTTGTACAGCATTATCGCACTCATTACTAGAGGTAAATGCAGTTTCTTTTTATATATATTTTATTTCTTTCAATTTGTTTGAGATTGCGATATGTATGG